AAAAAAAAAAAAAAAAAAAAATCAAAAAACAAACCCGAAAAAAAAAAATCAAACTTATGTCATTCCAGGTAAAACTCCCATCTGCGCCACCAAGGAAGAGGAGGGAGGAGAGTGGCGAGGGTGTAAACTTTTTCCTCCCCTCCGCCCCCTCCGGTGCCGCCCGGCCCCTCGCAGCGCCCGGCGGCCGCGGCGCCCCCGCCGCCCCCTCTCGCGCCGCCCGCCCCGGCGGCTCCCGGCGCCGCGGGGTTTCTCACGCACGGAGCCCGCCGCCGCCGCGGTTCCTGGTTCGCGGAGCCGCCGGAGGAAGGGAAGGAGGGCGGGCGGCGGGGGAGGAGGAGTGTCTCCCCGTGCCCTTCCCCAGGCGGAGCGTCTCTCCCGGCCCTGGCGGCGGTGGCGGCGGCGGCGGAACACCCCTCCCCTCCCTGCTCCGACCGCCCCGCTCGGCCCCCGGCGGGCTGCGGGGAGCGGAGCGCCTCTGGACGGGATTGCGAGATGAGGCTGCGCCCCCCCTCCCCGCCGGGCCTGCGCCTTCCATCCCCCCGTCCCCGGCGCTGCCAGGCGGGGGGAGCCGGTCCCCGCTGCCCCCCGGCGTGCCCTTGTGTCCCGGAATATGGGCAAGGAGCGGGAGCATCCACGCGGCGCTGCGGTGGGGCAAACGCGCTCCGATTCCACACATTAACAGAAAAATTGGTGCTAACAGTGTTGCCGGTTTTAAAATAATATTTCATTTGTGCCCAAGGTCTTTTAGAACTGATTGTGTTTGAGTTCAGGGCATTAAATGTCTCTTCATTTAAACATCCCGAGGAAAAAAAATTATGCATTGGAGGAATTAAAGTCTTGACCCTATTTTAATGGCCTCGATGCAAGTCTTTAAACGTGGGAAAGGGCTGCTCGCTGAGAATTTTACCTGTGCCGAAGTCTGTAGGATTGGGGCCTTGGAAAAGGCATTATTTTATCAGCTGTTGTTTGCATCTGTCAGAGTTTGGGGTAACTTGATAAATGTTAAACAGGGAAGCAGAAAGTGCTGGTGAGGCCAGACTCGGAGATAACGGCACATTCAATAGCTTAATTTCACAATTAGTTTACTGTATTATTGGAAGCAAATCATATTTCACTGTGCCTACACTAGTGCTCTATTTTTAGCCATAATCTAGCAAAAAAAGGAGGAACCTACTGAGATGTATTATAACATCGAATGTGAACAATTCTGTTATCTCTCTTTTTACTCACTTTGTGTCATACATCTGGTTTGGAATAAAGCTCATGTATTAATTGAACAGAACTACCGTGGATGGTTTGGAGGCTGCAATTCCAAGGCAGAGGAAAGTTTCACACAACTCTGCAAGGAACCCAGCAAGTTACAGCCATGCAAAAAGCATCCAAGCACACAGTCTGCTCTCCCAATAACTGGCATAGCCAGAACAACTATTTTTTATTAATTTAGAATTACAATGTATTTGCCTCTTTGGTTGCACTTTTTTTGTTTTACTTTTCTTGATTGTTTTTTTCAGGGTAAAGTTGTAAATGAAAACGGCATTTGAAATGCTTCGATGTAACCTTTGTGTTGCATCATCTTTTTTATTGTATTTTTAAGAACGAAAAGGAGATATAAAATAAAATTGAAGGAATATACCAATCTACTGCCTTAGTACCAAACATTTGATCCCTTCCCTTTCCCCTGTGATACAGACAGAGATGGTTGCTGGAAGAATAAAGCACCTTTCACGGTATGTGCAAGATGCTCACAGTTTTTCCACAAATTCAGTAGAAACCTTATTTGTTTTCTGTTTGTGGTTCACAGGAGCACTTAGCTTTTTAGTGGTTGACACTATACCTATTTTTAGCAGCATTTTAACAGCTGTCACTAACAAATATGATCCCATCTTGAACAAGAAGGGGAGTTTATCTGTTTTATTTTAAAAAATCAGACTACGTAGTTGTCAGATTTTAAAATGCAATTTGGATCTTTATCTGTGAAGAGAAAAGGCTATATTTTCTCATGCCAATTCCATGGGGGAAAGAAAAGGGGGATGTGTAGTGGGCTTGATAAAGTAATGACAGGGCTTTGCAAGGTTTGGAAATAATGTTATTCAAAGGCATACAAATGTATATATAGCCCATTTCAGATTTGGTTAAAAGTGGTCCTGTTTTGCTGCCTTCTGCAGCTGTGTTGCGATGGGGGAAGCCACAAAGAGTCAAGTCACAGTTTTCCAAGTAGGTCAAGAGGAGCAGCGCGGACACCTCCAATGAGCAATTCTCTTCCCTCATATTAGATTTTCTATGAGGTTAACTCATGTCACACACATGATACTGAAAGCATCAGACAGACAAGCGTTAGGGCACTCTTGCAGCAGATGTCATCTCTGTTCCTAAAGATAGGGGCAAATTTGCTATGGATAATGTATTACAAAACAAGATAATGCTGGAACTCGGCAAGTGTCAAATTGTACATCCTCCTGTGCTTAGAAAAGTGAGCGAATTGGTATTAGGGGCTGCAGGAGCAGCGACGTAGTGTAAAAGCAGCCTACTGTACTGTCTTACTTAGAGGGCATGTGCCCTATTTTGAGAACTGAACCAAAGCGGATGAAGTTTTGAGTCAGGTCCAACTAAGGCAGCTGGGCATTTCCCACTTCTCTCCAGCTCTAGCCCAGGAATGCAGGCAATCACATGGTCACACATATTATTCCTTTACCCGACATTACTCACTGTAGATTTAATTTTTGTGCCATTTGGCTGGTGTGGGTTTGATTAGTTGAGATTTGCAGCTGGTCAGAAGTAGTTGCATTTTGGGAAGACACCAGAAACACATTGGGGATGACAGGTGAGAATTTACTTTCCCTGACCAACAGATATGAATCTTCCAAGAGAGGAGTCCACAGTCTTTTCTGACTTGCCAGTTAATTGTTTTAAAGCTAGTTTCCCAAGCCATGCTGGAATTCTTTAGAATTCTTTACAAGATAAAATGTAAGTAAGCATGTTTTCTGTATGGTATGTTTATGTTCTCCAAGATATCAATCCTTTATCTATTTAGTCTAATTTTGAACAATTTTATTTTCTAATTATAGAGAAATCCTTTAGCTGAGCAACAGAGCATGTTCCCTTTTAACCTGTATTCTTTCTTTTCTACCTTTTTTTTTTTTTTTTTTAATTTTTTTTTTTTTTTTTTTTTTTTTTTTTTTTTAATGCTCTTTAATGGCCATGTTGTAACTGTGGTTGAACCACATCTAAGTATAGTACAAGTGCATTTCTAATGCACATTGGCATTAGAAACCACTTGCTTGTGCAAAGGGCCAAGACATGCATTTAAAAACATCTATTTCCAATGCATTTTAAATCACAGTTTTTATTGACTATTAGCACCAATAGTTTCATCTGCTTCAAAATAAAAACCTCCCACAGGGAGTTGCTTGTTGTGGATAATAGGTCCTGTAGAGAGTGGCAGGACAAGCAAAGAAGAATAACACATGGGCAGTATTTTTTATTTTCTGGAGCTTCAATGTCGTGACATATGTTTACATCATTTATAGTCAGCTTCTGTATTGCACCGTTTCTTGTAAGAATATGCAATTTGTAAAAAAAATTGTCATTGCCACAGAAAGCAGCCTTATCTTGATATTAATGAATTCCCAAGCAATAGAAGGTAGTGGCAGCTAATTGTATCTTAATATTTATCTACTACCTACTGGCATTTTTACAATATCAAATGGTAACTCATGCCGTAATCTGATAAAAATTTTGTAGTAACCATAATAGTACTGCACCTGTGCCAAAAACCCAGACACAGTGTTTAACAGCAGTAAAAAGTGCAAATAGCACCCTCCAGCACTTAATAAACATATCAAATGCAAATTGGAGGAAATTATTTAATCAATCTATAGGCTAGTTAATTTTGATGATTATTCACAGTTCTAGTAGCAATACTTGAAGTGTGGAATAAGTTAGTACCAAAATTGTTATGACACCAAGGTCATAAGCAGAATTTGAAACTTGCTGCATAGAGGAAATTATCTTCCTGATTGAATGAAGGTGCAGCTTTAAAGCTCCTACAGCAAAAGGAGAATTCTTATGTAGTTTCCCAGATTCTTTTATAATCCTGAAATTGCCTGCTCTCAGATATTATTCAATGAGAGATGATTTGATATAAAACTGCATGATCAAATTCATATTGAGACTTGAAAAACATTTGTTGTCTACATTTTTTTTAAATCTGTATTTCCTGGAGAAGAGAGATTTTGGCTGGACTCTCCCCAAAGTGTACAGTGGAGAAGAGACTGAGAAGAGCAATGCTGTGAAGCTAAGAGAAGGAAGAAGAAACATGTGCAAGACAGAAAAGGAAAAGAAAAACCGATTGATTTTAGTGGAAGATGCACTCCTTTCCTAAATAAATTTTGTTGATTTTGTTCATATATTGAACTCTCGCTTCCTTTGTAGGCTATGATCCAGCTCTAGGAGCTCATTCAATGTGTCCCCTAGGCCCACACTGGGCAGTTGATTTTGCACAACATGGAGAGTTGGTCCTTGCCAGATGCACATTGATTTACACAAGTTTGGTTAAAAAAGGAACCATAAGTCAGTGTTCTGAGTACACGTCCTAGCTTTGGAGATCAAGGTCACACCAGAATTTTTCTGCCCTAGACTAAATATCTGGTAATAAAAAGTCATGCATTACAGCATTTTCCCACTGAACTCAACAGGACTTGTCTTACAAGTCACGAGGGAGAAATTTTGGCACATTAGATTGGTTTGTCCCTAGTAACTCAGAGGTGAGGGTAGTATTCTCATCAACCCTATTGCCTGGCTATGGTTCATTCTCTTCTGGTTTAAACCAACTCAGCTTGGTTTCCACAAAGGGTGCTCTCTCTATCAGTGCTTGTGCAATCCTGGCACCTGCAGCATCCAAGAGCCACACAGACCCATTTCTTCTGAGTTCTAGAAAGAAGAGCAGAGTTATCAGCATTTTATAAGCAGGGAGTGGAGGAACAAAGAGATTGCAGGGTTTATCTCATGCCACTAAGAAGGTTACAAAGTACAAAGATTGTTACTTCCCAAATCACAATCACCGCCTTCCATTGAGGGACCAGGGTCCCTTTTCAGCCATGGCCTTCTCAGGAATGCTGCCTGAGCATGAGTGACATAGACTTAAAACTCTTTTGGTTGTTGTCTGGGAAGGAAAACACGTGCTGTGTTTGAATGGATTCATTATTGGAATGAATTTTAGAAACCCCATATTGCTGGGGCTTTTACCGTATGGATTAGCAGCAGCCACTGAAGATTGACATTACCTTCCCTGCCTGCTCAAACCTGGTCAGAGGAGTCACATTCCATGAATATGCAAGAATTTCTGGCATGAATGCTTGTACATGCATATTTGCATTTTGGCTCCCGTGCATGTTGTTCATGCACTCACCACTTTGAACTCTGCTTTTCATGAGTAATTCTGACCAAAAAAACTCATTCCTTCATATATGTATCTAAAATGTAAACACATAAGATGCCAAATGGAAGTAATATCGTAAGCTTTTTGTTATTTATTCATTTTTCATTCCATTCTCAGCCCTGTCTAGACGCTCACACAGTGGAAATTATGTACCACTCTCAAGATTTCTAAAGGAAGATCAGCCAGGACTCAAAGGAAATCTTGTTTAAGAGTCAAAGTTGTTCCACGGTAGGACTCATAGAAGGTTTAGCAAACAAGAATTTCTCTTGACATGGTTCATTTATGTCCTCTATGCATGACTTAAAATTGAAAACATGAGCCTATCAGAAATCTTTTGTGTTCAACAGCTGCATGTAAGACATGACTACTTCCAAATGTAAGAGCAGGTACTGATCCTTTTAATCTGGTTACTTTAGCCTTGCTCTAGGCAGAAGACACCTCTCACTGTGGTGCTAGTCCTGCAGGACTTCTCAAGTCCTAACCATTACTCTTATCTGTAAGAAGAATAAAAAAGACCACTGAAAGGTGGTAAAGGTCCACTGTCCTTAACACAGGACAGTTAAGGAACTAGAGGTGCTGAGCTGTATTTGCATTATTTATACTACTTTTTTATAACCACAATAATAGTGATTGTAACATGATTTACACTATCAGGAGAGAAAGAATTAGACCTTCTTTTAGTGGGAATCATTTAAAAAAATGAATACATAAAGTAGGCAGTACAGTCTGCCTGCACATTTTTATTTCAGAGCTTGTACTGAAGGGTGTCTAAGTAAGTGCTTCCTTGTAAATCTATTGTGGAGAGCAAATGAATCCCAGGGACTGTCGCTCCTTGTTGATCGTCAGTGGGCGTAGATGCAGTAGATGTAAAGGTCTATGACTCACTGAGCTAGCTAAGGTGAAACCAGATGAGAGGAGATAATTGCACCATTATAAAAAGAATTATCATAGTTTGATTACAGAAAAAAAAAAATCTTCTAATGGTGCCATAACTCTTGGGAGCTAGAATATGAGATGGGACTGAAAGTGAGGAGTTCATGTCAAGGAATAGCAAAACGTCCCTTTTAATTGATCCAGTTTAATCAGACATGCCAAAAAGATGATTTCAAGGATTGAAGGTATAATTGGCCAAAACAGCCTAAGGTACTCCCCCATGCCAGTTTTGATTACAATAAAAAAAAAAAAGAGGACTAATCAAAGAGACTAATTGACAAGGGCAAGAAATGTATGAATCCAGAGTTTACTGGAATACTTCATGAATGAGATGATGCAACCTCCTGCCTTATGCATGAAAATAGATACTGAGTTTAAAAATTACCCATCTAGTCTGATGATCCATACATTGAAGAGTGAAAGGGAAGGGTTGCAGGTAATCTAGACTGATATGAGAAATTCTAATACTTACAGTGATATGAAGAATGCATTTCCTTTTGACAGACAGTGAAGATTTGGTGTCAGTAAGTCCAGAAACCATGTCTATAAAATGCAGAAAGTATTTGGGCAATTAAGAACAAAAAGGAAATGTGGTGTAAATTAATGGGCACCTTTATAGTTTACATGAAACACTTGTCAGGATGGTTTCATACCTTATACATTATAAGCTGACTACAATTTAAGCTGCAAAAGCAGAATGAAGAAGACAATAAATTTTGAAGCACACTAACAAAAGCCTGTTATTTTCTCTTTCTATCTGTGTGTGTGTGTGGAGGTTTTAGTATTGCTGTATACTAAGATGAGTAGCAAAACTTGGGGAAGTACCAAGATTTGAAGCATCCCTTTGATAATTTCCTCCTAGCTTGGTCTGAGTCTGCAGCTTCAGAGGGGCAGATTGGCAGGAAGAAATTTGAAGCAGTTTTTCAGTATCACCTTAGGGGTTGTAACAGGGGGGAAACAGTCACAATTCTTATCCCAAAAGTTTATTTCCATGAAGGTGATTCAGAACTGGTGAAGAAGTTGGTGGTGGGAGGTAACTTTATAGGGCTCACATGAAGTGAGAAAGGTGTTTCTTAGAAGGTTCCTTACAGCCAACATTTGATTTGAGGCTATCCAACACTATGTCCCAGCGGCCTTGGTAAAGAATAAGACATGACACTCCACTGTTGTTATGAATCAGTAGGGAGAGCAGTTCAGAGAAACCTCAGTTAAACGTGACAGATAAGAGAGTCCATCAAATTCAGTCCATCCTCCTTTGCCTCTGCTTCCCAGCTCCCTGCACCTCTGTAAGAGCTGAAAGGAAGAGGGAGACTCAGACTCGCATGTTACAAATCTTATCCAAAGCACATCTGTAAATTACAGCCTCTGCCTTCGAGTGTGCTCAGTGCTTACTTTTTGTTCACTGCAGCATTAGCCATATAGTGATGTTACTTCAGGGCTTGGTAGAACATTATATTAAATATGATTCCAGATATTATTTTTCTTTGTTAGATTTAAAATTAATAATATTCTGGCATAGCCCTGGTCCAGGCAAATGGATATCTTTTTTTTCTTTTTTTTTTTTTAATGAGTTTTCCATAAGAAAAAAAACAAGAGATTTTTTCCCACACAGCTAAGCTCACATATGGACATGAGGACTGTTCAAAATGCTGTTCACCACAGGAAAGCATTGGTAAGGCACTGATAGAGGCAATCAAATGCATCACAGAAGTTTCTGTCAGACAACAAAACATTCCCACAGAGCAAGGAAGTTTATGCATTGATCCCATTAGGGGAGTTCTGCTTTCAGGGCAGTGCCACATCTGGAAACAAGAAGCTGCACCTTATTAGGATGATGAACAAACAAAGGGACATTGAGACTGTGAGAGGTTTGATGGGGTTTCCACTGGACTGTAAGCGATAAGGTAAATCCCACTGCTCTGGTGGGATAGGTTTTGGGGCGTATTAAGGGGACAGGCAGTGACCAGATAAATGAGTGGCCCAGAGGATTAGGAGACACCACTTCTCTGGGTTTTCCCCTAAGTGTAAGTCTGTTTGCATTCACTGTTAGTAGTCCTTTCTGAGTGACCTATACCCAGTCCTGTTGCGGATCCTCAACTTGGATTTGGGGATGATGTATTTCAGTGTCTCTCTCACCCTCCATGGTGTGACTGATAAGTTCTGACTGCTGAAGTGGTCCAGCAAAAGCCATAGCCCTAGGAAAGGGGCTACAGTGGTTTTAACCCTTCCTCAAATGCCATGAGTTAAGAGCTTCTCTGGCATGGCATGAAGTGGTTTCACTCAGCTCTTAGGTTGCCAGTGGCTCTGGGTGTTTTGTCACAGGCTGGCAGGATTTCCTGAGCAATGCAGGGGATTTCTGCTTAGGAGAATATTTGGCTGATGAAGTGTTTGCGACTTCTTTGGGAATGTCCCCTCATGTGAGCATCTCAGGCCCCAAAAGCTGCAAATCTTACCCTGACTCGGTGCTTGGCAGGATTTCTTTGTGGTTTTCTGCCTTGTCTTTAATAATACAGTGAAGTGAACCAACCATGTGCAAATATGTGCATATATATATATATATATATATATATATATATATATATGCTTTATGCACATCTGGACTGTAGCCACTCTAAAAGCAAGTAAAGCAAGTTAGAGTACATACATTACAGAAAGGCATGTCAGTTTATTTTACAGGCTATGTTAACTCCTGAGGAACCACACATTGGTCCCTCTCCTGGTTTGTGGAGGAAACTTGTCTCTACACTGCTCTTTTTCATGCAACATGCGTACGCAATGTTTGCTGTCTTTGTTGTAAGGATATTCTCTTAGGACCAGGAAGAGGAAAAAAAGTTGGAAAGGCTGCTGTCACTTGCAATGTAGGCAGGGAAATGGTTTTAAGCCAACAATTAACACACATGCAATAGCTGACCCGAGGCTGGTAATGCACATTGTTTCTGAAATAAAGCCTGAAGTTCCCTAGAAGAAACCAAAGAACTACGCAGAATTCTCTTGGGTTTTCCTACAGCTCTAAGTGCTGAAGATTAAATTAGTGAT